AAGCAGTGAAGACAGAGAATGTTTAATAAAGAGTTAGGAGTGTTCGATGTCTCAGAGAAATCAAGTAGGGTAGGGACATTCCACTTGTCATCACATTTCTCCACGTGAGGTGCTGCTAGGTTACTGTAGTACTATAGAAGTCCAGAAACCACAAACTAAAGGACTTTCCATACTGTGAAAGCCCTTTAGAATTTTTGTTTAAACTTTTACTATCTTGTTGAATTTGTCTCATAAAAGCCTTTTGGAATACAGTTGATAGATATGCCATCAAAAGATCATGTGCAATTTCATTATTAAATGTAGAAGAAATGAGAGAAAGATAAAATCACCAGTAGACAAGCACCACAGTAATAATTTTTGCAGGCAAGATCCACTGATGAATGCTGAAATCAATGGAGAAAAGTTTGAGAAGAAACAGTATATTTATATGGTTCAAAGCATCTCTTCAAAGATATTTATCAATTACAAAGAGAAAATAGTAACTCTATAGTGGAGAAACCCAGGAGGTGCCACTTTAACCAAGTGTCTAATAAGACAATAATAAGACATATCTACTACCCCTCTTCCTTGTCTTCTGTAGAACATATCATCATTTCTGTGATATTCTTGCCAAAAATGCCTAACCTCAGCCTCATCATAAAACATTACATATAACCAAATTGTGAGACATTCTACAAAAATAACTCATCAGTACTCATCAAAAGTGTCAAGGTAATGAAAAATCAAGGAAGACTGAGAAACTGTCACAGGTTGGAGGAGACCAAGAAGAGACATCACAACTACGTGCAATGTGGGGTCCTAGGTTGGACCCTGGAAAAGACAAAGGACACTAGGGTAAAAATGGGTGAAATTCGAATAAGGTCTGTAGTTTAGTTAACACTATTGTACCATGTTAACTTCCTGATTTTGACGATTACACTATGTTTAGGTAAATTATTAACATTAGAAGAAGCTGGGTGAAGTTATACATGAACTCTGTACTATGTTTGCAACTTTTCTGTAAGTCTGAAATCATTGCAACATAAAATGTAAAAAGAAAAGAAATAAAGTTATGCATTTTGAATGTTTTTCAGTTTTGACATCTATATTCACCTCTTTTTGACTATAAATGGGAGGGGTTTAACCAGAATTGGAGAGTGATCTTTGTTAATAGCAATAGTGATAACTAACATCACTGTTTATGCAATTTACGTGCAGAGATAGAAAAATACAGGCTCTGATGCTAAACTGTCTAGATTTGAAATCTGCCTCTTCCAATTGCTGGCCTTGAGACCTTGGGCACGTTACTTTATATCTCTGTGCTACAGTTTCCTCATCTGTGAGGAATAAAATAAAAGCCACATCTCATAGGTTGTTATGCAGATTAAATTAGTTAATTCAAGTAAAGTGCTTAAAGAAGAAAAGTTAACTCACCCAGCATTACAGAACTAGTAAGTGACAAACAGAGATTTGAGCCAATTGCTCTGATTCCAGAGCCCATGCTTCTAACCTCTGACTGTGGAGTGGTTTCTCTGGGCAGGACCACTTGGCCTCTGAAGGCATCAGAATGACATTTTGGCTACATGAGCATGTTGCCTTGAGGATTAAACCAAGTGGCCTAGCTTGGATGAAAATACTATGAATACTTACTGAAATCAGACCTCAAGAAGAGCTGGTAGGGTATACCAGCTGTCATCACTAATACTAGGTTCTACCATTGAGCAAGTTTTGCTCTATGTTTATGAAAGGATTGGAAAGATAAGATTTTTCAGAAATGTTATAGTAAATATGAACATTATCCTGTGGAAATACTAGTTGAAATGATAGCAATTCAATGACATAACCCCAGTCTGGCTTGGTATGACAACTTGCTAGTTGGATGCTATAAAATAATTTATATAAAAAAAAAATATTTTGATTTTTAAAAATAATTATAATTATTGACTATCAGCATTTTACTCAGCCGTATATCTAAGTGGATTTAACCATGATTTAATCAGAACTCATGTAAATGAATTATACTTTCAGATCTTTAATAATGAGATGTCTTACTGTGTTTGTCTATTCTTCTGCAACAAAATTACATTTATCTTTTCTTAGTATGGTTGGTAAGAGGTGTTTTAACAATAAAACATGCATTCATCCTCAGCGGCACTGAGATTAGATGAAATGTATTGCATTAAGTACACATTACTAAATCGTCTTTAATCTGATTATTTCTTAAAGCCTGTCTTTCATCATGCATTTAATAGTTATTGACTATATTGTAGTAAAGTATAAAGGTATTTCATAGAGCAGTGTCATCCAATAAAAATATGTATTACATATGTAATTTAAAATGTTCTAGTAGCCCCAATTGAAAAAGTAAAAAGAAACAAGTGAATGTAATTTTGATATGTTTTAGTTAACACAGTATATAAAAAAATATTATTTTAACAGTTTATTATTTAAAAAATTATTAATGAGTCTGCGGCCATGCCCCTGTGAACAAGCCCGATCCTATCTGATCTCGGAAGCTAAGCAGGGTCGGGCCTGGTTAGTACTTGGATGGGAGACCACCTAGGAAGACCAGGTGCTACAGGCATAAAAAAATAAAAAATAAGAGATTGTAAACTGACAGAGTCCTTGCAATCTGTGAAGTTAACCAAGGGTTGCCTACAAAAAAAAATTATTGATGATATATTTTACATTCTTTTTTTCATCACGTCTTTAAAATCTAGCGTGTATTTCACTTCAGTTCAGATAAGCCACATTTCAAGTGCTCAGTGGTCACAGGTGGCCAGTGTCTACTGGATTGGACAGTGCAAATATAGTTCATAGTCTTTATCCAGAAAGTGAATTAAACGTGTCTTTAGACATAGCCAAGAATAGTATTAATTTTTTAGATGGACACCAAAGTTGAGTGAAGCCTAAAGATATTAAAATGCATTTATTAACTGTATTTATGCTTTATACTTAAGTTAAAGTTCAGGTAAATATTTATACTCACATCAATCTTTGATTCCGTTTTTCAATTTTAAATATGTTTACCTTTCAATTCACCAGCAATTTCACATCTCAAAATTTACCTCATTAAATATGTGAACAAGCATACAGTAATTTATGTATAACTATCTTAACTTCAGCACTGTTTAGTATGTTTCTTAAAAGAGGGCCGGCTATATAAATGCCCATCAATAGGAGATTAAATAAATTATAATAAATTGACACAATGGAATATTCTGCAACTATGAATAAGAATAGACTATGACATACAGTTCAGTGGAAAAAAGTTTAATGCAGAATATTAACTATGTTGTAATTTTACGTGAAAAACATATTAAATTTATACTTGTTTTATATATGGAAAATGCTTCGGCCAAACTTAACAGTTTTAATTAACAGTGATTATTTCTCGAGGATAGGACTATAAGGGACTTGTCAGTTCTATATACATTTCTGATTTAGGGTTCTTTTTTTACAAAATTATATATTTTTATAAGGAGATAACAGACATTTAAAAAACAAGCATGAGATTTTATTTTTGCATCTTATAAAAAGTGAAGAATTGGAAGCAATATAAATGTTCAAAATTAAGAAAATATATTATGATACTTCCACTCCTGGAATTGTATACAACTATTTAGATACTGTTTATAGGACAGTGCTTACAATACTAAGTGGAAAAAAAACAGGATACAGAATTGTATGTATATATAACGGGATCACTGTGTAAAACAAACATAACTAATCAAAATACTAATTTTTAGGTGGAAGAACTATGCATTTTTTTGTGTGTGCTTCTTTGGTTTTCCAAATTTTCTATAATGAATTTATACTTTTTCTATTGCTCTTGTAATGGGGAAAATGTCATCATTATTATTCTTGTAAAATTCATTTGTTAAGAAAAAGAATGAAATTTGGGAGGCTTAGCTGTGGGTGGTGCTGTATAGAATCAAATTATTCAATATCGTGAAAAGGTTTTTAAAACTTAAAACATGCACATGAAAATATTTATCATATTTTTGTTTGTGAATAATGTTTTGCCCAAGTCAAGTCTTTTTGGTTAGAACTTGATAATATGTGTATTGTCATACAGCTCTTCAATTATAATGAACAGAAAGAGATACCTTCTTTGAATTTTCTTTGTATAATTTGGTCTGCATAAGATCATATATTTGTTTGGCTCTTTTCACCAGAGAATCTCAAAAATATTTTATACACAAAGACTTTTTCTTTTGGCAAGAAATGTTGGTGATATAACTTAAATTTCTATAACACCTTGACTGAAGATCTGGGGATCAAACTTATGTACTCTTCAGTAGTGCTCGTTCATTTGAAGATGGGGGAAATTAAAGACCCAGTGGCACTAGTAAGTGGAAATGATGTGGAATTCTAGGAGCCTTTTCGGACTCAGGGAACCAGTGCTAGTGAGTGATGGCAGTGATGAGGTATTGCATTCAGATGTTATAACACTACCTGTGCTACTGCCAGTAGGTAGCTTTAATGACCCTGAAAAATGATTAAGATGTATGTAGAGGAGGAAGAGAGAGTAGTCGAGTCCTCATTGTCTTTTGTCTGGAGTAATGTTTAAGGGTTAGTACATTGCTCATGGGCACAAGTGTGTCTACTTTTTTGGGGGGCTGTGATATAAATGAACCTATGTTGAGCTACTGTCATTTCCAATGTGCTGCTATCAGACTTTTCTCCGATAACATTAAGGGAAATGTTCTATAGTTGTAAATGTTGCATGCCTATGATTGTTCCTTTTTCTATTCTGGAGCCAGATATTCCTGTGATCAGTTTTGGAGTTCCTTAGCTCATAGAATGTTTCCTTTTCTGGTTAATAGTTATTAATGTTGCTGCCTGTTTGTTTCCTGCTTTATTTAGGTTTCATGTCCTTAGCAAGCTACTGAGCTTCATGGCACCTATTGACCATACTACAATGAATGATGATGCCAGGTGAGTAATAGATTAATTATATGTCTCAAATGGCTTCATGACAGCCTGATATTGACCTGTTCTACAGCCTGTCGCCCTCTCCATTTCTTCTTATCAGTTAACCATTTGTCATTGGCATCATAGCAAGGGTCCTTGTCACATCTCTTCACTCCCATAATTACTATAAAACCAAAACAAAATTTCCATATATCTCAGTGCTGCCTCTGGTGTTTTTTGTTTGTTTGTTTTTGCTGTTTGTTTTGTTTTTAACTTTAGCCATCTGCCTGGAACATCTGAGTTCTTTTCTAGGACAGGTCAGGACATCACATGCACTTGCTTTATGTGTCCGGGGGTTTTGTGCATATGCTGTAGAGATTGTTCTAGAGATGTGCATTATGTTTGTTTATTCAGGAACTGTTGAAGATTTTTTTTTTTTTTGAGTATTTTTGAAACAGAAGTACTTGGCTCATTTTATAAAGCTGAAACAAGTTATAAATGAATACTCATATTACAATTCAGAGATAACCATTTTTTAAAGAATAATTCCTTCTGTATTAATTGGCAATCTACTACTCTAATGTAATATTTTTATAAGATTATTTACCATTAATTTATATAAGTATGGACTTAAGCTTTCCTGTTTTAGTCAATGAATTATAAATCTGTTACTGTCATTATTAATTTTGATTTTAAATTGTCTTATATTAAGGGAAGCCCCTTCGAATTGGCTTGTGTCCTTTTTTTAAAGAATAAATTTATTTATTTAAATTAGTTTCAAGTATACAATCCGTTTGTTAGACATCTATAATGTTCATAAAACAATTCCCCCAATTGCTCCCTCCTCCTCTGGCCCTCCACTTAGCCATCATATTAATGCTAACTGCATTCTTCCGTGCTCCCTGTGCCCAACTATCAGCTACTGCTTGTGTCCTTTTGAGATGACCCCAATCATTCTTTGAGTACTTCTTTACTTTCTGGTACAACAAAGATGTTGTATGCTTATCTTATACGTTCTCTGTTCCAGCCATGGAATCAGTCTTTCTCCAAAGAGCCCTGATTCTTTTTTGAGTTGAATGTGGTATTTAGAAACCAAACTCTAGGTGCTAGGGGTGCTCATTGTTTCTAGGCTTTCAAAACATACAGAACTAGGAAGTATGTGTATACATACACACCTATAGAGGAGATAACCACTTTTAACATCTAAGAATATCTCCTTTTAGTCTTTGAGTTCCCTTCCAGTATGTTCTTTTTTTTTTTTTTATAGAATTGAATTTATATTCTGTTATTATGAACTTTTTCTTTAAATATTTTTTGTCATTATGTCATTAAATTATTCAAAAAATGTAAATGACTGTGCAAATTTTTAAATGACTTATTTAGCCATTTACTAATTATTGGACATTTAAATTGTTTTTAATTATCGTAAATAAAGCTGCGGTAAACATTTTTAAACATACATCTTTATCAAGTAAACTGATTGGTTATAATGTAGGCACATGTGGATTTTGCCAGCTTTATGCCCATACTACATTTAACCTTTTTATTTGCATGTATTTAGTCTGTCAATAAACCCACTCAGATTCCCTTCATCCCCCTTGCTTGAAAAGGAGTAGATCTACAAGTTTAGATGAACACAGTGATTATTAAATTTTTGTTTTGTTTCAGTGCTTTGAGTACAAAACAGCTTATGAATAGTTCTGAATATGTTTATACTCAGAATTTTGCAACCTAATATTCTCTCCTGTGCTTTGCAAGTGAATGCCTATGTGTAGTAGTCTGTTTTTAAAAACAGAATAAAATGAATACATCCATAGAGTGTCTGTCAGGGTCATATGAAAAAATTACAGGGAACAAGAAAGGGGAATCTGAATCCTGTTACTCATTCTTGAATCAACTCCCCATATCCCTTGTCCAGTTTGAGCTCAAAAAATTTACACTTGGACACTTGGACGAATTAAATTGAAAGCGGAACATGGATAGCTCTTGTTAAGGGAGAGAGATCTTTCGTCTTTAACACAGAATATTAAAATATCCTTAATGGAGAAAGAGGGTATTATCTTTAAAAAGGTACTGGCATTTTCATTTTGTTTCTCCTGTGGTGTGATCATATGGTCATGTGGTCTTATGTAGTGTTATCTATTTAGTTAATTTCTACTGTTACATACTCTTTTCTCATTCGAGGAATTTTTCTCTTTAAGCAGTCTTTTTTTTTTTTTTTTAAGTCCTTTTTAAATGCAAAGTAGCCCAGTTTGTCTCCCTGTGTGTGCCAAATTTTCCTTTGGGGGCATTTCTTTCCAGGTACATTTTGGATACTGATTTAAATGCCTTTATGTGCCTTCAGATCTTCTTTGTTAGCGTAAGTTTTGTGTAACCCCTGGCATTTTATATGTGCTGGCTTAGTAGGCCTTTACCCTATTACAAGGTAGGCATTTGGTTTTTATTTCAGGCTTGATGAACATTCCCAGGATTGAGAGAAAACAAAGAAATCCCACTTTGCCCATGTACTACAAAGTTTGCATGCTAGGGAGGAGAGTACCATGACCCTAAAAGTGATCACTGGCTTTGCTAAACCCTTGGGTGCTCTTGGCATGGGACAGCTCAGCTCCCAGAGCAGCTACTGTTGCCCTTCAGAGTCATATTTGCTAAGAGGCCAGAATATCAAGTGATATTGCAGAGACAGTTATCAGCAGGCTAAGGAGGAGAAAAGGTTCAATGTCTCATTGGTAGAGAATCTCCCTAGGTGTATTGTTACCACCAAGAATAGGTCAGTATGTTACTTGCATGAGTTACAGGATTGCTCTTCACTTCTCTGACTTTTGAAGTTATTCTAAGCTTATCAAGGATGTTTTAGAAACAGCTTATTTTTTACATGGTGTGAAACCCCTGGAGTGCTATTAGACCAGAGGGAGTATGAAGTAAAAATTCATAAGATGTATGTAGAGGAGGAAGAGTGATCTCTTACTATAGTTAAAACAAAATGAAAAATTTGGAAGTT